GCAACTCATACTCGCGAACGCGAAATATATTCTTCGACTATAATTTCGAAACCGTCAATCGTTTTTCACAATGTTTTTCCTTCGTGCTCTACAAATACATATTTCTATTTACGGCTTCTCGCGATTGTTAAGCTTGCCGTTAAGCTTCATAAATATTTTTCTATGACGAGCCACGAGTATTATTTTTAAGATTTCATGTTATCGTACCGCTGTTTACCAGAGCCCCTCCGTCTCTCTTTCTCTCCGTATATTCGACCTATCATCTCACCAGTGTTTACGGTAAAATTATCTGTGTGACCTTCTGAGAAAACAAGAAAAACGCGTACGTTTTTCTATGCTATCGTATCGAGGGACGGTACGAAAGTGAACCAAACGTGAAACGTTCTCCTCGCGTGCGATCCAAAAATCTTTGTTTCCCACACGCGACTCCTCCCTCCTTCCTCTTCCACGTCCGCTGGAAAGTCCTCGTATGGCTTTTCTTCCGCGTAATCTCGTGAAACGAAGTTTACAAGGTCAACGAGGCGCATCAAGTTCCGTTGTTTCGAACTTCGTTCGACGATCACGCGATCGCTCCTCGTGATCGGTCGGATCGAAAACTTCTCGCCATCCACAGGAGGAAAACACGTCGACTCGTGTGCTATTTTAACACAAACGGAAACCGAGAAATCGTAAAAATACACGTTTTATTCGAACTTTAAAAGTTCGAAAACTTCCTCTTCGTATATTCGGTCGAAAATCTTCGCGAGAAAAAGTTTCATCCACGATACAAAATATCGATCGAAGGACCTCGCGATAACTACCACTTCGAGTTTGAATTATTACACCGTGAAAGAATAAATTCTGCACCGTTTCGTTTCGTATATTCGGTCAAATCTTCGCGAGTGTCGCTGCGCCGATCGGATAAAAGACGAACGATCTGTCGTAGATTTTGAAAAACTTCGTTACGTTATTCCGTCTGCGCAATACGCAGAATTGTTTTCTTCTTTTTCTGTTTAAGAAAAATATACTCGTTTCCACTCCTGTGGTTAACGAACACGAGTCGTATTTAAATCGTTCGAATTCAACGTTGGACGTAAATTGACGCAGAATGATTATTTTTTTTCTTTTTTTAATTTTCCCAAACTCGTTACAAACGAACCTGTCCTCCCAAGTTGCCGTAAAATACTCGCCAACAATTCTTCCAACCGCAACAAGTTTCTCCGTGTCTCGCGAGAGATACAGGATGTTTTCGATACATTCCACCTCCTCCTCCAGGTTTTCCTTGCCATTTAACACGAGGCCACGGCGTCTGAGAGACACGAGACATCGGGACGGGTTTCGCGGGGACGCTGGGCGTAAATCCACGTCGTTCGAATGGATCCGTCGGAATATTTAACGAGTCGAAACGCGGTAGACGCGGCGTTACGTAAACCAAGCCGTTTAATCGAAGGGAGATAAGCGGTGGAAACGTCGGAAACCAGAAAGCTTTCTCCGGCGGTGGACACGCGTCGCCGAGAGAGCCACAAGTTTTCGAAGCGAAAAGGGCAAAGATACGTCCAGATTCTGCTCGATGGAACGATGCCTTCTTCTTCGCTTCCGTGTGCCGCGCCTCGCCAAGGAAAGTTGCCCGTACCAGATTTCTATCCGATCCCGCAAACTCGTCCATTACTCGATCCTTGTTTACGAGCGTCGCTCGTCCACCACGTAACTATTCGATAACGACACGGCCTACTCCAATGTAAAACTCTAACCACTCGGTCAGAGCGGACCGATCTCTCTTCGTCAATTTCTTTTTTTTTTTTTTCTGAAACGATGGAATAACAATCGAATAATGGAATAATTATCGCGTTGTGCGTTCGAGAGAGAGAGAGAGAGAGAGAAAGGCGGGAACTTTCGAATTTTAAAATTTTACGTTCCAATTGCTTGTACGAATAATTATCGAAAGCGTTTCCTTCGAGAGACGAAGAGATCGTATCGTCGATTTCCCTCTCCGCGTATACACGGAGAGAAAGATTTCGACGAGCGAAATTACTCGACCGAGTGACGAAATGATCACCGCAGCTTCGTTTCGAGGGATACGAAAGTAAGCTCGTTACATGTGTCGAAAGATAAGAAGAAGAAGAAGAAGGAGAAGAAGGAGGAGGAGGAGAAAAATGAGACGAGAGAAAGGTAAGGACGGGCAACTTCTCGCAACTCGACACCTGTACGAGACGGTAATATTCTCGTACAGGTTAGTGCAACGGCTTTCAAGGTGGCGGAGAGACGTTTCCACCTGCCCGCCTCTGTAAACACGAACCGCGTACAACGAAGAGCACCAACCTCTTCTTATCTGCTCCACGGAAATAAAACGCGGCCAAACCGCTGTCGGATAGAATACGTGTCCCCCCTCGGGACACCGCCGAGCTTTTTCGACGCCATCCAAACTATCTCTCGATTCAATTTTAGCATCAAAACTTTCCTCCTTCGCAAAAGTTTTCTTCCTCCCCCAAAAAGATCGCAAATAAAGTAACGAGTAAACCGAAAAAAAAAAAAAAGAAAAAATCACGAAAAAAGCGCCATCCCTCAAGAAATAATACAACTCACGAGATCTACGAATCCGAATACTCGCACGCATACCCGTTCCATTAATTTACCGAGTCGATGGAGCGAGCTGTTTCCTCTATCGCGGTTCGCGGAGACTAGGAGCGATTTAACGAGAAGGAAGGAGTCGCGTGTAATCGCTGCGCCACAGGACGAGGTCTCCATCTCCTCGCTGCCAGCCGTCGTCCCCCGTCCGTGCGAGTGCATTACCACGTATCGAAGAAAAAGAACCGAGATGCCCCCCACCCGCCTCGCCTCCCCCCTCGTCTCGAGAAGGAGAGCTCCCTCGCTCGCTCTAAATCACAACTTTTGTAACCAGCCGCGCTGCGTACAAATGCAAATGCTCCCCTTTTCCTTCCTTCTTCTCTTACCTCAGACTTAGTGTTTTTATTTCTGCGCCATCACTTCCGATACGCGAAAAACAAAGAATAATTCGCGAGGTCGAAGCGATTTACAAATCTTCGGGACGCGGATTCATCTTTCGAGTTCGTCTTCTCGATCAGCGAATTGTCGTTGGACGATAAGGGATGCGACGATAAGGGATGAATGATCGAAGGGAATAGGTTTTCAGGTGGATTCAATAAAGGAGGATTCAGTCACGTTCGCGAGCGCGAGGTTGTGGACGAGGAGAAGGAGGAGGGGGAGGATCTGGGCTGGCTGGCGCGTTACGTGACGCCGGACTTTCGGATCCGCGAGGAGGAGGAGGAGGAAACGCGAAGGTCGATCGAAACGAATAGAAAGCTAGGAAACACACCGCGCATCTTTTTCCCCGTGCCTTTTCTTTCTTCCCCCTCTCCCTTTCTCGTTTTTTTTTTTTTTGCGCTTCTCGCTTTTAATTAATCGATTCGAAGTTTCATAACGAATGGATAATACTATTCTCGAACGTGGTAAGTAATCGATCGACGTTTATCAATGGTATGGAGGAAGGGGTTACTCGACTCCTCGAAAAGAAAGTTGGAAAAATTTCGTAGTGGAGCGGCTGCTGCGTCGCGCGAGCGCGGTTATTAGGAAAGTTTAAAAGTCGCGGAACACCTGTTGAGCAGAGCTGAGAAGAGGTTCAAGAAGCGAGGAAGAGAGAAGCTACCGTTCGAAAGGTCATTTCTCGAGCGTCACGCGAGGAATCGTATCGATGACGCATCGTGTCTTAAATTGGGGCGCGAGAAACGATCCGTGAATATCTTTCTCTCGTCCCTTTAAACGGTGGAAAGGTGGATCGTCGTTACTCCCGTCGTCTTCACCTTTGCATCCTTTCGACTCGATTCGCTCGATGCGTTCGAAGCTATTGGATCTATAAATCTGGAGGAACGGACGGGGTGAAGCGAAGAAATTGAGGTCGGGGCCGAGTGGAGGAAGATCTGGTGGCCCGATGTTTACGAGCGATGAGAGAGAGAGAGAGAGAGAGAGAGAGCCTTTTGGCCTCGTCGTAACGATCGTATGGGATTTCTCTCTACAGACCCTTCGGGCAGCTGCTACCGCTTCGTCTTCCAGACTCGGGGATGAAATCGGAACACCCTGAGGATCCTGGTGGCTCGGTCTTCGGACCGAGCCAAATGTTGTGGCGCGAGAGGAGCAGAGAGAGAGAGAGAAAGAAGGGATACACGGTTGATGCCATATGGTACGTAAACGAAGTCTCGAGAAATTAGAAAAAAAAAAAAAAGGAAAAAGAGAGACAATTTTCGAAAGACGTATTATGCGGTTTCGAGGAAAAAATCGACGATGAAATAATCGAGCTAGTTGATTTCGAAAAGAAAAAGACTTGCAACTTGGAAAAGGTATAAGAATTAATTTTGTAATCAGCTTAGAAATTTAAATTAAATTATATATATATATATATATATACGTATACAGATCGTAGATATTGTACGTAGGAATGGCATTCAGTAGTTGAGAATAAACAAAGTACGATCGAGATAGCCATTTATCATCGTCGTCATCATCATTTAGTATACCAATTATATTAGCAAACGTTTCATATTAAATTTCATTTATTCCCGACCTCGAGTATCGCAACAATTCGAAACTAATTTCAACGAGCAACGATGTTTCGCGCTGTACAGATGTACAGTTGAGATATTAACTCGACACAACGACTACAAACGAAAGGTAGGATCGAAACGCGAGTGACGAATCAATGTGTAATTTGTCATGCGAGACGTTTGACACGAGGTAAAACTATTCGATATGTATCTTACAAATCGTGCATGATCGAAAAAAAATATATATATACTGGCGTTCCAATTTCTCGAATTAAACACGCTCGAGCTCGCATTATGCGTGGAAAAAAACTCGTGAAACCGCGTCTTTAACCGTGCGAACGATCCTTTAATCTGGTGTCGGGGGAGGGGAAAAAAACGTCGCCCCTCCGAGGCCGAGTATCGAGCGATCGATCAACGGTACGAGGAATGAAAAGAATAAGAATAAAAATCAGAACGAAGACTTACCCTGACGGGAGCACGGAAGAGTGGTGCAGTGACGGCATGAGGATTAACGTGATGGTGAGCGTGATTATGGTGGCCATGATGATGGTGTCTGGTGTCAGGACCACCTCCTGCAGCCGCTTGTTCGGCCTGGACCGACATCGCCGCGCGGGCCTGTCGTTCCCGCTCCCGAAGCCGGTCCCGTTCCACGCTGAAAGTCCAACATTTCCTTCGGTTATTTTATTACAAACCATTATATTCCGCGACGATTTATCATTGTTCATATATCGATTTCATATCGAAATATAAATCGATAACAGAATCGATCGACTTCGCCAACTTCGTTTTCGCGCGATTTCTTTATCGGATGGGAAAATGAAAAGAGCGTGTTAAGCGGAGGAAGGGGAAAAAACAAAATTTCCACGGAATTTTCTTTTGCGAGTTAATCGATAATCACCTCACTTTGAATCGATCTTTTTCGAAAGAAAATTCGCTTCCGTTGTCCTCGGTTATCGGCCACGAATTCGTCGCGCTGGATCGCAAGAATCCTAGACTCTCTCCGAGCGGAAATCGGCACGTGACGCACCCTCTCGGAATAACTCTCCCACGTTTTAAGGAATACATCGTCGACCGTAAAAGGAACTAGGCGCGGAACGCAAATAGAAAAAGAGAGAGAGGGAGAGAGAGAGAGAGAGAAAGAGAGCAGCTGCAGCTGGCGCAAACACCTGTTTAGCCGCGTTTCCGGCACAACCAAGCCGGGGAGGATCGCGTCACGAATCGAGCAGACGAGACACGCCACCGCAGATAGCGAATTACCAGATCCTATCACGGTCAAAATGTCTTCCCCCTCCTTCTTTCTCTTCTTCTTCTTCTCGCGTCACGTACGAAATCGAGTTAGGGTTCGAGCCGGATTTCCATGAAACTGGGTCGCGACGAATCGCTTTTCGATCCAATACAATTCCAATTCGATCTGTTGTCCGCGGGGAACGGGGCCCATGGCAAAGAATTACTAATTTCCGGATGGAGCGGATATCGATCCGCCCCGCTAATCCTCGCAGCCGCCGATTCATTAGCGAGCAACGGCTCGCGCGCTCCGCGGTGGACGTTGATGATTTTTCCCTTCCACCCGGAAATACAGCGTGCTAAACAGCCGACGAAGATCGCGATCGAATACGATACGGATACGATAGAACGTATGGTGGAAAATTCGAAGGGAACGCGCACGATGGCGCATCCACCGTGGATGGATTTCGGATTGGTCGGAGTGACAAGACTGGGGGGGGCCATTGGCCGACGGATTTATTACCATGGCGGGGAATCTCGTCTCGTTCCTTCGCATGCGTGCACGTGTACATGTGTACGTGTACTATTACGAGTTTAGATACGACTGATTTCCCGGTTACTAAAATGCACTCCTCCCCTCCCACTTCTCTCGATCTCTTTCTCCGTCTCTTGGAACGAGGACGTGATACTTTCGCGATTGGTGTATATATATATATATATATATATATTCCCTGATAAAGCGAGCATGCTCGAGCTGGCACGCCGCTATAACGGCGACCAAGATCCGATACGAATATCCGTGTACGTATCATCCGCGGTATTGATACGACACATTCGATGTATACGAATAAGTTTGGCGAAAGGATTTTCCACCTCCATGGAATATTAACCTCTCCTCGCGATCGAGTGTCTTTTTTTTATTTGGATAAGAGATATCTCGTCCCAAAAATTCCGAGTAAAAAAAATCCCCAATTTACCACCAGATATTTCGAGCGAAAATATTTTTCCTTTTTTTGTGATGCGTGAAAAATAGGGGAGTAAAGAAAAGTAATAATAATTCTTTTACGTATCGTTGGACAAGGATATAATTTGAGTTTTGATAGAAATAATAGCTGCGATAATTTGGGAAAGAGTGTTTTCACGAAAAGAGTTTTACGCGTCCCTCTTCGTATAGTTTGCTTTGAATTAGGACACTCGAGCGGAAATATTCGGAATTTCAACGTTTCCCTTTTATACATCCACGTATCCGAGACGATTCGAATTGGTAAAGCGTTAGCCGATTTCGGAAGAGAATCGAAACGAGAGCGGGGTGCACTTTATCGGGTGTTCGACAGGTCGCAAAGCCGACAAAGTTCATCGCACTAACGAAGCCTGCGCGCTTTCGTGATTAACGCCTCGGTAAATGGACGGGGGATACGCCATCCTCCAGAATTCCCATTCGCTCCCATTTCAAATTTTCCAGTCGCGCGATCGACGATCTCGAATCATTTTCGAACGCACCGATTGATCGATTCGACCGAGTGGTTCCATGATTTTACGAATTAAATATTAAAAAAGAAAAAAGAAAAGAAAAGAAACGAAAAGAAAAGAAAAGAAAAGAAAACAATGGTATTCCGTTCGAGACGAGCTGAACGATCGAGTTCCTTTTCTCTTCTATTTTTGTAACTGAAATACTCGAAGCAGCGACACTAATGGCTACTTTCGATTCGACACGATCTTCTAAAAGTGGAGCAAGTTGTATTTCCAACGGCGTCATCGAATATCTGCCAACGAGTTTTTCGAGCGAATCGCTTTGAACGGAGGATCGATATAGGAGGAGAGTATCGGCCACGGAAATAATTAACTCGCGTTAATCGCGGTCCATTGGAAATGATAAGGAAGAAAGGACGGGTCTCTTAAGAGGCCCCTCGCCATCCGCGATTCGCGATCAACAAACAGATAAGAGGGTGGTCGACGGTTAATCGACGGAAAGGAAAATCGATAAATCAGACGTTTCTATCTATCGTCCTTCTTTCTCTCGTCGTATACAAAATTATCGCGTTATTACGGAGTTATATAAACAACTATTAATCAAAAATACGAAACTGTCGTCAGACGAAATATTTTTAAAAATGTACATTAGAGATGTACATTAGAGATGGTGGCTCGTTTCGGAACAAAGATCGATATATGGCGCATTACGTCGGGAACGAATCCTCGGCTCTCCTCGAAATTAATGGTAGATTTATATAAATCGAAAACGCTAAAAATCGTTTGAGAGTATTTATCGAGAAGCATCATACGACGACTGTGTCGATGCGAAGATCAATAGAGTATCGATGGAATGGCCAAGCAGCATGTTTTTTTTTAATTAAAAAATCCTGGACCCGTATCCGTAACGATGACGAATATGAACTGTAAATGGAAAACCGTTTTTCCCGGTTCGTTTCGCGAACGCGACAGAAAGCTTCTCTCCCGTTAATCAAAAATTCCAACGGGTATAGGCTGGAATAAACAGTTGGCGAGTCTGCACGACAACGAAACGTCATCCGATTTCCCGCGTTTCGCAAGCCACGAACACGGAGACAGGGACAGACGCCGGGTCAGGATCGATCTACGTCAGCAACGATGCTCGAGCGATCGGTGACGCGCTAATTTCCACCACCGTACATAGCGAGTTATACTATTCTTGAAAACCAACGTCATAGCCGATATTTTAATTCGTCGATACGCGTACAACCGTTCCACGCTATTTCAGATATCGCCGCCTTATGAATCGAACTATCGATTCATCTAAATTTACTCAATGAGCCGGTATTATCGATGATCGGATTCGACAATGGTATTTTTCATCGCTCGAACGGTATTCCGGAAACTACGCGGTAAAAATATAAGATTTCTTAAAAAATATCTCCTCTCTACGTTGGAGTGGAGTGAATTCTGTTTCGCTGCTTTTTCTTTTTTTTTTTTTTTTATCTATCTCAATCAAATATTTTCTCAATCAAAATATATCGTCGAAAATGTTTTTTATATATATATATATATATCGCAAGCATTCGTGGTGGAATCTTGCGGTGAAAACCGACGATTTCCACGACGCAACGCTTACTTACGGATGTGTAAGTGCACGCGTCGTGCTGTTTAGAAATCGGACGAAGTATAGGTGCAGCGAACTAGCACGCGAAACAGTGTAACGCACACGCGCGTCCGGCGGAGGCTCGCGCGCGCGCGCGCTCACACATACGGGTAGAACGGTAGCTGCTACCGTTGCACGCACGTGGCCGTACGTGTGGCGAATTGGATTCGAGCTTAGTTAGCTACTCTCTGCCGATAAACGACCGAGACAGCGAAAGTATCCGTGCTGGGGGAACGACGAAGAGGAGCGTAAACTCGTTGCGGGGGGAGGGGGGGGGAGTAGAGGAGCGCGAGAACACGGAGAGGAGATCGACAAGAGATAAAGAGCGATGGACGCGTGTAAAAGAGAGACGAGTCGAAATCATGATGCGCAGAGGAGTGGCAAGAGGCACAGGGAATCTGTGAGTTGTCGCGTTTATTTTGAGCCGGCGAAGGCTAAATGCCGGATTGCGCGGTCGCGAATTCTCGGCGATTCGACGCCTTTTTCCCTCTTGCTCTCTCTTTCCTCCTTTCTTTTTTAGCTTCTCTTCCCCTCCCTCCCTCTCCTCCCTCTCTCACCCTATCTTTCTCCCTGCTCATCTCGCAATCGATCTTCGTTTTCTCTTTACCGCCATCCAAGTCGTTGGTTAATTATCAATTTTATTAGGTTATAATCGAAAAATTGGAGACAGAAATTAGAGATTTTTCATTTTTCGTTGTTTTTCGTAAAATTTATCCGTATCTATTCCATTTCGAAAAAGTAAATCGAACTTTAAAAATCCGCCCGTCTGAGGGGGATTTTCTCAGAAAGATCAAGTTTCTCATCGTCGCAAAATCATCTCTCTTCCCGTTGAATAGCAATCGACAAACCCAATGACTCGGTTCCATTGACACTGACACACTGACATCGTTTCACGGTACGACAACCTTCGAAAGCCGCGTTTCGTTCTACGCTCAAGCGCTAATCTCCTTGAACGAATTGAACCGAGCCTCTTGAACCGTGCTCGAAACCTTCCTCGCTACACGCTATTTGAATCAAGTTTCATTTACACCAGATATTATACAGAATCTCGAATGCATTACATATTTATCGGTCACAGTTTTCCCATTGAAAGTAGCTCCCGCGGAAACGAGTTTGTTCGAGTTTCGACTGTGTTGTTTCGACGAGCAACCGTTTACATAAACAAACATTCGGAAACACCAGTTCCCTAGTGACGCGACTTGAATTATTAATTGCTCGATAAATACGATAAATCGATCACAAATACGTTCATCTTACTCGACCATCATCTAGAAACGTGAAACGATGATTCATCTATGCATTTACGTACACGC